ATGCAATACTAATGCCTCGCAACAAATGTACCGTGGCACCTCTGGTTACAAACTTAATTGCTGCTCCAGAGAAGCGGACACGGAGCAATGGATCCAAACTACAAGAAAGAAGATTCCACCTAAACATTAGGAAGAACTTCCTGACAGTAAGAGCTGTTCGACAGTGGAATTTGCTGCCAAGGAGTGTGGTGGAGTCTCCTTCTTTGGAGGTCTTTAAGCAGAGGCTTGACAACCATATGTCAGGAGTGCTCTGATGGTGTTTCCTGCTTGGCAGGGGGTTGGACTCGATGGCCCTTGCGGTCTCTTCCAACTCTATGATTCTATGATTCTATGATTCTATGATTCTAGTTCCGGAGGTCCGTTCTTAACCTGAAACCGTTCTTAGGCTGAGGTACCACTTTAGCTAATGCGGCCTCCCGCTGCTGCCATGCAATTTCTGTTCTCATCCTGAGGTAAAGTTCTTAACCCGAGGTACTACTTCCAGGTTAGCGGAGTCTGTAATCCAAAGTGTTTGTAACCTGAGGTGTTTGTAACCCAAGGTACCACAGTAACGGATCTGTAGAAAACACAACTTGGGAAAAGAGACAATGCAGATATTTTTGTAAACTAAGAAATCTTTAATAACTATTATGATGATGATGATGATGATGATGATGATGATTATTATTATTATAAAAAAACAGTATTTCATAAGAAAAAACCGGATAGATGTGGATTGTGGCTAACCTTATAGGAACATCAGTTCCCAAACCAGTATTGGGAGTGCACTTGATGTCGAGTAAATGGGAGGGTGTCACAGCCCCAAATTCAGAGGAGCTCTGTTCTTTTGTTCTAAGTGACTTTTCCGCTTGCGCTCACTGGTAGATCTGTGAGGTAGGTTAGATGCCAGGCAGGAAAATTCCTATTCAACCAACCCAAATTCGCTCCAATTCCGCTGTACAAATCAGATTTTCCTGGGGAACACGGTTGGTCAAAAAAATAAAAAGCACTCGGGACACAGACCTAAGCTTAGAATACCCAGGACAAAAGGAAAGTGTGGGTGAGCCTTGAGGATCAGTGACTGGCCCCAAGGTCACTCAGTGACCTTCATGGCTCAGTGGGAATTTGAACTCTGGTCTCCTAGGTCCCAGTCCAACACTCTAACCAGTACTCATTGAAAACGTTGGCATTTGGAGTTAAAACACTCTGCAAACGTTGAACTTAAATGCTGGGTCCCTGTTGGAGGAGCACACTGTATCCTGGGTATAATCACACTGAGACTCTTGACTTTTGGAAAATAAGAAAGCTATGTTTGCTGCATGAAATACATGCTTGATTGACAGAAAAGATCTCAGTTCTCTCTACCTCAGGTGGTGACAACCTGAGCTATGCTTGCTCTTGCATTTCAGCAGGAGAGACACAAAAGGATGTCTCTTCTCCCAAGGTGAGAATAAAGAGGAAGTAAGTAGGAAATGAAAGGAAGGTCAGCACAGGTTAGGTCAGAAAGGACCGTCTAGGAAACACAGCAGTTTCTCTCTCTGTCTACATCAGCCTCCAGTGCAAGGGGAGTTTCAACCCAACAAAACATTGATGAGATCATTACTTTACAACACTGTGGGGTGCTCTACAATGAATGATAATGGGCCAGATGGGTGGTATATAAATTATTATTATTATTATTATTATTATTATTATTATTATGTTGCATAAGCATTCTATATAGAGTTAAGAATCTATGCATGGCAACTGAGGACTCATCCACTCAGTCCCAATTCCATTGAACCATTATCTGCACTTTCTCAGCCTTGAAAACTAGAAACTTTCTCCTTTTTTTGGAAAGAAAATAAATTGGATTTTCTCCAAATGCTTAGTTCATTATCCCCTACCAAATTTCAAGCTTTCAAAGTGTCATTGCAGAAATTCACTATGCAGAACCAGCCTGGGACATGATACGAGTGATTTTACTGAAATTACAGGTGGGCTGTTTCTAGAAAGCATCATTTAGAGCTGACTTTGCTTTTTAAACTTTTGTTACACCAAAGCCTCCAGGGATGAGAGTGGATAAAAATGTAAACAAACTTTAAAAAAACAAACAAACATGAAGCTCTGTCTTCTTCAGAGGAGATGGTTTCTCTCTGCCTAGTGAAAGGACAGTTGGTCAAGGCTGTGGTTAACACACAAACACACACATGGGTGCTCTTACCAAACTCATTATTTGTTCTTCTAAAAATCTATAAAGCCAACACTGAGGGCAGGTTAGGCAAGCAGGGACCACCAAACGAGGCACTGACAAGTGGTCAAAGGTTGGCCGACTGCACTGGTAGGGAATAGGGAGCAATGAAAATAGATAAGAACTATCTCCCTGCTCATAGCAGAGGCATGGCATTACTTCTGAACAATAGCCCAATTCCAACGTTGTTCCCCAGTGACTAAAAAGCTGCCATTTATCCTAGAGGAAGTATAGCTTCTTGTGGTAAAGGTAAAGGTAAAGGTAAAGGTAAAGGGACCTCTGACCATCAGGTCCAGTCCTGGCTGACTCTGGGGTTGCGACGCTCATCTTGTTTTACTGGCCGAGGGAGCCGGTGTACAGCTTCCGGGTCATGTGGCCAGCATGACTAAGCTGCTTCTGGCAAACCAGAGCAGTGCACAGAAACACTGTTTACCTTCCCGCCAGAGCGGTACCTATTTATCTACTTGCAATTTGACGTGCTTTCAAACTGCTAGGTTGGCAGGAGCAGGGACCGAGCAACGGGAGCTCACCCCGTCGTGGGGATTCGAACCGCCAACCTTCTGATTTAACCCACAGCGCCACCCGCGTCCCTAGCTTCTTGTGGTAGCAAGTCCCATATAACTTTGTGCAGTATGAAGAAGTACTATATTTTCTTTCTCCTGCAAATATGATTTTCCTCAAAGCTACCAAGAGAATTGAGGGCTAAACGTACGGTACTTAGAACCCAGTTCCTAGAAATAGGAGGAATGGTTGATCCCTGATACAAGCCAATCCTGGCCACCCAAAGTCCACTTAGGGCACCTTTAAAAGTGCCATAGGTTTTAAAAAAATAAATAAATACACGGAAAGCACATCTTTTGCATGCAACCTATATATTTTATTTGCTGAAAACATTTTTAGCTCAGTCTTCATCACAGAGCAATTTCAGAGCAGGTTGAACTGAAAATCCTTTTTGAACTTTTACGAGTACATAAAAACAACAATTTACTAACATAAGCTAAATTACAGCCACATCAAATACTGATTTTGCAGTGATGAGGGCAGACCTGAACACTTGTCCCATGTGCTTGAGATGTGAAGTTATGGAATTCCAGGATATGTGTTGAAAAGCAAACATATATGGAGCATTGCATGTGATGATTTGCTTGAAGTGTGCAGCTATATCTGTACACACAACAAATGTTTTGCAGGCAGGAAAACATTAATGCCTAGCCAGCAAGCAGGTGGTGATTAGAGGCGGGTTTCCCAAACTATGGTCTCTGGTGTTTCCGTGGAGCACACATGCAAACTGAAGTCCATGGGATTAAAACCGCAATACAAAAACATGCAAGCAAAAGAAACAAAAGCAATAAAATACAATTATTTTATTATATCTTACAAGGAGCAACCTGGGTTGTTCCCTGAATCGGTGACACTCATTTTACAATAACAAGAAGTCAAGGCTTCAGAGTCATTAGCCAAAGTGTGGGATACTGTGCCAACAGAGATTCAGCAGATGCCTTCTGTGCCAACTTTTAAACACCTGCCGAAAACTTTTCTATTCCATCAGGCCTATCTATACAAGAATTAAGAACGCATATTTCCAAAACAGTTACACGATTTTTGATTTCAACTTTGTTAAATGATTTTAATTTTATGGTTTTACATACCAGAAACTGCTCTAATTTTTTTTATGAACAGTGGTGTATAACTTTGTTACATAAATAAATAAATCATAAATTTAAAAAAAATTAAAATAACAGAGCATCTGGCATTGCACATTCCAATTGTTCCAGCAGGCAGAAAAATCACTAAGTGATCTGCCAAGGCCCTAGGCAATTTTAGAATAGTCTGTTGGGGGAGAGGGGGAACCAGTGGAAAAGAGCATATTCAAAACGTGCTCAAGCTCAGACTTTGCCCAATGTCCAGAAGGGGCAGAAATGTATTCTGTAACTTTGGAAACCTCTAAGAACAGCTCTCCTTCCATTGGCTCCTTCTTGGTTCCAGTGTGGAAGGAGGGTTTGGGGTATACTTCATAGGTGAGCCTGTCAATTGTAAAAAAGCAAAACTTCTTTTTTAAACGGACAGCGAAATGCCATTCTTTCAGTCCGAATTTCCACTCAAGCTATTGTCTCAGCTGTGTAGCTGGTCGAAAAACCAATCAGAAGTTTGCTACTTCTAACCCCCCCCCCCCTTTCCAGGAATTCGTTTCAGCCAAAACTCACAAAGGAAAACACACAAAGCAAAAGCTGGCAAAGAAATGTCTTGGAGCATGTGCAGAGTGCCAGCTCCTTATTTCACTACAACAAATCTCCCAGCCTAACCTTTTTATGGCTTAGCAAACGCGCCTAATCGAGACGGTGAAGTGGCCAGTCACTCTCTTTTCCGGCCTACTCTGGCTCCTAAGATCCGAATTCAACCCCGCCTAGCAGCCACCCCTTGGGAAGATCACACAGTGCGAGGGGCTCAAGAGAGGTAGGAGGGCAGCTCCCCTCCTTCAGTCAAGTAAATCAATAAAAATAGTTAACTACGGTAATTGAGGTTCTCCCCCGCGCAACATAAATCCTGGCTACGCCCATTGCACTCTGCACATGCTCGGAAGGCACACCTCGCTCCCGGGCTGAGTCCTGGCTGGTGGCGCAAAGGAGATTCCGGCTCTGGCAGCGTCCCGCTCCCCCCACAGTCACCCCCCCCAAAAAAACCCCTCCCGGGCGGGGGAGGAGGAGGCGTGTCGTGTCGTGGGGAGGGGCGTGTCGTGTCGCGGGGCGTGTCCGGGCCGGGCTGTGGCCTCTCTCGCAGCCAGCGCCGCGCCGCAGACGGCCAGAGGGAGCTGCGCCGGGCTGGGCTGTGCGCGCTGCGCGAGGGACTCGCCTGGGCGGAGCGGGCGCGCGCTTGGCTCCGGGGCAGCCGCTCGCTCGCTATGAATGCGGCCCGGGCTCTGCTCTCCGCCGTGTTCCTCGCCTGCTTCTTCTGGGGGGATCTGCCCTGTTGCCAGCAGGCCACCATCCCCGCCGACGACGCGCCCAGCGAGCCTCTCCGGGAGTCCGAGCAGGGCATGCGAAGCCCACAGGACGGCCAAGCGCCCCGAGACGCCGCCGCCGCCCGGAAGGGACCGTCCGCCTGGGCCCCGCCGCCGCTAGTGGAGCCCCACGAGTACATGCTCTCCCTCTACCGGACCTACTCCATCGCCGAGAAGCTGGGCATCAACGCCACCTTCTTCCAGTCCTCCAAAGCCGCCAACACCATCACCAGCTTCGTGGACAGGGGGCGAGGTAAGCGGACAGGGCGCAGCCGACGGGCACCTTCTTCGGGCGGGTTCCCCGGGCCTGATCCAACCTTCTGACACTTTCCCGGGCCCCATCCACCTTCTGACACTTTCCCGGGCCCGATCCACCGTCTCCTCCTCCCTCCCCCCCGAAATATCTCTTCCCCCACCCCATCCTCTCTCCTTCCAGCCTGCAGCCCTTCCGTTCTCTCCTCCAAAAAGGGCACCGATCCGACCGCGCTCCCCTGGTTTCCCCGTCATTCCTGCAGGCTCCCGAATCCCTCTCAGCTCCTGTGCATAGCTGTCAACTTTTTCCAAGGGAAATTCCCTTATTCCGAATAGGATTCCTCGCAAGAAAAGGGAAAAGTTGACAGCTATGCTCCTGCGTGCTCTGCCACCAGCATCCTTCTGGAGTTCAGTCTGAATAGGGGGTCCCACACGCGTCTCGATGTGAACACACACACTCCGGAACACTTGCACTGGAGTAGAGCGTGCCTTGCTTGGATGGGGGACCCCTCCGCCTTTCTGCGCGCTTCCTGGGGCGTCTGCCCCGTCGACTCTGGTGGGTCTCTCCGAAGAGTCCAAGGCGCACAAGAGGCCGGGGCGCCCCTTTGAGAAAGCGGCATCTGGTGCTCTCCACCGGGGGAATCGCCGTTGGGTTGGGGACAAATGCTCGCGTTTGGTTTCTCCGTTGCGCCGGCGTCTCAGAGATAAACGGGGAAAGGAGAGCTGTTTCTGGAGCAAGTTTTCTCCCTTCTCTCTGCTGTCTTGCCTCTGCCAAACTTGATCCAACCTTAAAGCGCCCGGACTTCGACGGAAGCGCCTCTCTCATCTGCCAGAAATGTTTCGCAGGCTTTTTTTCCATCGGGATGAGCTGCAGTTCTGGGTCGCGTTTTCTCTTCGGTGCTCTGTTAGGAAGCCGTTTCTACGGGAATTATTCTGCTCGGTGGATTAAAAGCGCAGCGGAATCCGGAGTAATCCGAAGGCGGGTGGGGATGTGTCCATGTGTTCGCGGCCCCTGGTTTCCGTGTGGGAATCCAGAGCCAGGTTAATCGCGACGGGGAGCAGGGGGGTTATCCTCCCACCCGGCCCGATTTTGTATGACACAAATTAAGGAGCGGGGGGAATTGTTCTTTTTCGGTCAGTTTCCAATAAAACTTTGCGAGGGTCAGCGCTTGCTCGGTTCTAACCGCCAGGAAGGCGCGCCTCGGCTTCTGCCAGCTCCCACAGAATCAGAATCATTTAGCCACAAGGAATATTAAAACCCGTGCAAAATAAAAAGGACCTTCGACCCCATCCGGCCCGCGGTTACTGCTGAGCAAATCCCACCGGGTTGAACGGGGCTCCCTCCCTAATGCAGGGCAGCCACCAAGGGAATCCCCCGCCCCATACACACACTTCGTATCTTTTCCACAGAAATCCGCCATCTCCTCTTTAAAAAAAACAAACCCAAACAAACAAATCTGGGTACAATCGCAGCATCTTCAGGTCGAGCTAGATCTCAGGATCCCCTAAAGATCGCTTCACCACCCACCCACCTCACTTCCTTTGTAGGTGATGCGCTTCTCCAAGCCTTTAATGGACGGTCCCCGTCCCACTTTCCGAAATCTCTGAGGATCCTTCGGGGGATCATAAATGACCCATAAATATAACTGTAAATTCGGTCATTCCCACACTCTCCTCTCTCCTCTCACCCCTTCCCATTTAGCACGCTCTTTCCCCAAAGCCAGGTCTCCCCACTCCACCCCGACCCACATCCCTGTTCCGGTCTCCCTCGTCCGGGCCCTTTGCGCGCAGCGGCTACCCTCCTAACCGAGCCAGAGGGTGATTCTTGAGCCTTGGAAAGCCTTGGAGGGAGCAAACATCAAAACCGCCGGCTGCAAATGGTAGTTGATTCCCTCCCACTGAAAAAAGAGGAAAATAAAAGGAATGAACTAAAAGCTTGCGCTTCGTTTCAAAAGATCCGAGTAGCTCCCCTGTCCTTTAAAGGTCTCTGCCCCAAGGAGATGGGGACGCCAGCAATTAATGGGGTGGGGGGGAGCTTGAAACATCGCCTCAACCCACATACCAACCCTGAGACCGGCTAATGAGGCATGGACACTTTCCAGGCATTGTTAAGCGTTTCCCTATATGCTCCCTGGCCATCTTTACCCTGCTGGAGTAAATTGCTTCTTCTGTTTTTGTTTTTTTTAAAAAACGTGGCGAATTACTTCGTTCTTTTATTTATTTTCCTACTGGGGGATTTTAACTTACAGTACTCCCCCCCCCGGGGTTTAAACTGTTTGCATCCCCCCCCTTTTCCTCCTCCCCCCCATCCCGGCTCCTTACCAACCGTTGCGCCCTACCTTGCAGGTATCTCGCAGCCGGTCTTCAGGTTTAAATCTATTGCCTCCTTATTGCTTCGAAGGGCAATCGGAAAGTGAATAGGAAGGGGGAACCCCAGGCGATTCCCTTCCATTCTCACGGCAAGACCGCAAGCTTAACATGTCAGAGATTCGTAAGGTACCGTAGCTTTCACTGGAGAAGGGGAGCCCAGGAGTCTGCGGTTCATGGGAAGAGTTAACCGCGCTTCTCCTTGCGCCTCTACCTCCGCCGGCCCCCACCACCACAACGAGAGATTGATGCTAGGCATATTTGAAAGACTGTTCTCGGATGGGTTATCTGTTTGCTCGTTCGTTGAGAGCAATCCTTCTAAAGGAGGCCTTAGCTGGCAGCCTCGGTTAAAAATAGCTGGTCGGTGGCACCTGAACGGCTTCTTAATTCTCCATTCTCGCTCGCCACCCCACCAAGAATGGGTTTCTAAGGAGAGAAGGGGAGAATAGCATGCAATCTGATTTTAAAGGAGATTATCTCGCTTCTCAGCTAGGAAACGGGCCCCCACCCTTCCTTGATGTTTTTAATGTGGTTTGTTTCAAAAACCACAACCAACTTGGGACACACCTCTCCAGTTTAAATCGCTGCCTTCTAAACAAAAGGGATAGGAAGGGGGACAGTTTGCAGGCTACAGAGGACCCTGAAAACTTGGCTCCAGAGGTGGATCTCACTCTGCACTCCTGGGAGATTTTTCTCCGAGGGAAGGCGGGCGATGGTAGCAGAGCAATCGGGAGAGCAATTCCCCCAGGAGGAGCCCTGGTTTGGTGAAGGGGCGGGGGTGAGGAGGAGGAGGAGGAAAGCCTTCGTTCCTCCCCCCCCCCCCCGCCGTCCCCATTGATTTTGATTTGATGTGTCACAGGCTGTGACCTCGTGCTGGACCTTCTGAGGGTTGCTTAGCATCAAGCCCCTGATTGGAGTAGTTCAACTCAGTGATCTAATTGAGTGTTCATGTCATAACATATCAAAGATTGTCTAGTCTCCCATAATGAAGGCGGGCCAGCCAATGGCGCACCCTCGACGGGGAGGACTTCAAGAGAACTTCCGTTCCTCTGAAGTGGCAGGCGACCCCCGCTTGGGCTCCCCCCTTTTTCTTTTTCAAAGCCCACCTCCCTGTGGGCTCCCCGCTCCCCCGTCCTCCAGTTAATTGCTGAGATGGGCTTATGCAGCAGCAGGAGCAGGAGCAGCTCCGGAGCACTTCTCTCCAAAGATTTGCAGGACTCCTGCCCGACGCGCAGATACAGACTTTTCATTTCCCTAACGCGGAATAATTCTCCTCCAAGCCCTCCCCTTAAGGATCGCCGCGGTATTTGCTCGCCTGGTCAATGTCGCTTTAAACGAAAAGGCAGTAGAGTGGCTGGAATGGCTTCCTTTTTTATTTTTATAGAAATCGACGCTTCCACGAATCCCACCCACCATTTTTCTTTCACTCTGCTGGAGACTAGGGTGATTTATTGTGGATCTGGCTAAAGAAACTGTTCTCTTTCTCCCAAATCATTATAAGTAACGCGGAGTGATGGGGTTCTTCTCTGGCTTTCAGCTGAGCTTGGAGCGAAGAGAAGCGATCCTAAATCTCGCTTCTGTCTCTCCTCCCCGCGCAGCGTCCCATGAGGGCCAGAGAGAGTCATAATACACACCCTCAGGAGTGCGCCCGAGCCATCCTTTCCACGGGGATAAATCCAGAGTGATTTCGGCTGCAAATCGATGGGACCTGCTTAGATCTAGGATGGCACGGTTAGGACTTCGCTGGTGGTTTTTAGAAGGGCGTTACTTAAAAAAATAACACCCCCTAAAAAAGAAACCCTCCCCCTTCGGCGCAGAACTTTCAGAATAGTTTATTAATCGGAGAGGGCTCCGCTGGCTCACATGCTTTATTATTTTTGTTGTTACGTGTTTAGGGGGGAAAGTGGGGGATAGTTAGCATTAACTCCTCCCCCCTTACCATAAAGCCCGGTTGCCCCCTCCCCTTTCACCACTCCTCCCAGTTATGGTCGCAAGATCAGACAGGACCTCGCTGAATGTAGGAAAATTACTGTTGGCGCATGAAGTAAACTCATTAAAACGCAGATGGTGCTTGGCTCGCTCCGCCGCCGCCGCCCTCCCTCTCCCCACGTTTAGAAACCCCACAATAAAGCAGAACAATTAGGAACTGCCGCCGGATTGAGGGGTGAACCGCAAAGGCACTTATTATTAATAATAATTCATAATAATAATAATAATAATAATATTTTCCTTGACAACTCTTTAGATATTCTTGGGCAGAAATAAATCCCATGGGGGCTCAGAGCTCAGGCTCTGGGGTGAGAAATCGGCAGGCCTGCCTGAGAGCGAGTGATTGCTGTGATTTACTACCCGAGGAAGGTGAAAGGCGGGTGAGGCTGAGGGGTTTGAAGAAGGGCTTGGGAATCCCAGAATTTTTGGAAGGCGAGGGAAGTGCAGGCAGGCTTTTAAACGCTTGGTATATTCTTGACCAGGGATCTGCTAAAAACGAGCGGCAGGGGTGCAGGTTGGAAACAGTGGAAGCCCGTGGGTGCTGGGAATGCCCACGGACACGACGTCCATAAGGCATTTCTTTCCACGGAGTTCACACGTGCCTGGCGCATCAGAAATAGGCTTGCTTGGAAGAAAGCAACCGGGACTGGGACTTCAGTTTCTCATGGCGCAGCCGAAGTCCGTGAGTTCAGTCGAACTGATTTCCTCGCAGGTGAATATAAGGCTGGAAAGCACGCCGCGTGGTTTCAAAAACAAGTAAACCTGCTCACGTGTGAATTGGCCAATGCGTGTGGATTAGCAGCAACAGTTTTGTGAATGGCTATGCTCCCTGCGTCTCTGCTTTCTGCGGGTAGTTTCATTCTGACTTCGCTGTTGGCCTCTTTCTAACGCACTCCTTCCACGTGTATGTCTTCCTGTAACTCAGGATAGCACGCTACACTCCGCGCATCTGGTCGAGGGCAGCCTAGCTCGCGGAAGCTTATGCCACTTCAATACATACTTGTATTTGTCTTCAAGGCGCTGTCTTGGTTACAATCGTGGATCTCCGTTTTGGAGCACGGTTCTCTCTGCCTCGCTGAGTTTGCCTTGGATGAGTGTCTCAAGAATTCACACGGGCTGCAGGTCAGGTCCATCTGCCGCGGGCACCTCCGCGTGTCTGGGATCGGGATGCCAGGCCGGGGACAGGAAGATCTGCAGGTTTCAGCAAAGGGACCGAGAGGACTTAGCGAGGGCTGAGCGTGGCACGACCCTTTTCATAAACAGGACACTAAAAAAAACAACACCCCAGCTTCTTTGAGGCTCCCCTTCCGTTCCATGGACTGTGTCCAATATTCGCCGTACTCAGAGTAGACCCATTGAAGTGAATAGACCTGACCAATTTAGGTTCCTTAATTCCAGGCCTTCTCTGGGTTGGATTTGGATACAATCCCTTGTGTACCACATGCATACCGTGTCCCTGTACAAAGCAGAAGAGAAGTGGACCGCGTGCTTGCCCATCTTTTACACCTGAGTATTTTATCTTCGGCGGGTCACCAAGGTGGCGCCACCATGTGCCGTTAGACCCCAAGTCTCATGGCCCAATGGTTAGAGTCGCAGTCCAACAGCATCTGAAGGTCACCACCCGTGGTAACCCTGCTGTGACGCCTTTTGTAGCCTCTCCCTCTGAATCGGAGGACACGCGTGTGAAAGTTGGAGAACTTGGAAGGGAAATGGAGTTTGTTTTTTTAAGGTTTAAGGAAACAGCAACAGAGGGAGACTCGCGGCCCCTGCCCGTTTACCCGGAGGGAAGTCCCACTTGTCCCTCAGTAGGTGGACTGGGGCATCAAGCGTCACGTGTGAACACTGTCCACCTGCTGGCTTTGCATTGCTGCTGGTGTGGAACTTGAGGAAGACGCTGTTTTTAAAGCATTGAGGTGGGTGGGTGGGTGTATCTCTCTCGTGTGTGTGTTTCCAAATTCGTGGCGATATTTCCTGCAAAAAGAAGGAGAAGCCAGGCAAGCAGGCCGCAAAGCGCTGCTGTGCTCGAGCTGGGCATCTCCCTCGGTTCTTGGTAGACGCGTCTTTCATATCCCTCGGGGGGTTTGCGGGTAGGCGAGAGGGAAGGGAAGTTTTTCGAGGGGCAGGGAGCGCCCGCAGTTCGAAAACAACCCCTGCGGGGTGGGAAGCAGGGCTGGGCTGCTACGGCTGAGGAATGCGGATCCCTCTGGCAGCTCCTCTCGGGCTGCGTGTTGACGGAAAGCGGCGGGTTTCTAGGTGGGACCATCCGCCGGCCGGCCGGGGCGAGGGAAGCGCAATCCGGGCCGCGCCTTCGGGGCTGTGTTGTGGTTGGCGAAAGGCGAATGAAATACAAGCATGGAAGTATTTTAATGGGGAAGAAGGGAATTCACCGCTTTTAATGATGGGGCGACCTTGTATTCGATTTGTTTGAGCCCCTTATAAAAAAACAAAACAAAAACAACAAACCGCTAATGCAGACCAGACGGCCGGAGCGACGGAGCCCCGCAGACGGTTCCAATCTGCGCTTCCTGGCCCAGCAAAGAGGTAGAAGACCCGGGATGAAGGGAGGGGGACCAGCCTGGGGGTCCTTCTCCCCCCCCCCGCGCCCCCCAGCAAGCCTGCGCTAAACTGAGTTGGAGGCATATTGTCTGGACGCAGGAAACGCCTGGGATGAGGACAGTGCTGTTGTGACCCCCTCCTAAGCATGTTTACTCCGGAGTAATCCCTGCTGAGTTCAGTGGGACTCCCAAGAAAGCGCCTAACTTTAAGCTGCCGCCCTAGGCAGACTTATTTCGGAAGAAGCCTCGCTGAACTCGGTAGGACGCTTCCCCCCCCTTTTTTGGGAAGGAAGCGCAAGTGAGCGGACACATCTGGTTAGGTGTAGGGGCGGGGAATTAAATAACTTGTTTGCAACGAATGTCTGCAGGGTTTAGAGGCGTTTGGCAGGCACCTCTGGTGAGATCGGGAAGGCTTGGGTCCAAATTGCTGTGTTACTCTTTGACGGTATTGGCCTGGGTTTACTCCAGGCCTGTTCCGGGGCAGGAGATTTGTAAGTCTGAGCCCGAGGCAACCTGATTTTGTATTTTTTTATTTTATTTTAAGGGGGAAGCGCGATAGACACGGCAGAACGGGATCGTACAGCCACGTGGCTCGTGGTACTTATTTATGTATCCAAAACTTTGCCTGCCTTTCGGGTCCTGCTCTGGGGATTGAATCCACCACAGTAAAGTACAGTGGTACCTCGGGTTAAGTACTTAATTCGTTCCGGAGGTCCGTTTTTAACCTGAAACTGTTCTAAACCTGAAGCACCACTTTAGCTAATGGGGCCCCCTGCTGCCGCCGCGCCGCCGCCACACGATTTCTGTTCTCATCCTGAAGCAAAGTTCTTAACCTGAAGCACTATTTCTGGGTTAGCGGAGTCTGTAACCTGAAGCGTATGTAACCTGAAGAGTATGTAACCCGAGGTACCGCTGTACTGGGAAGCGGAGAGACGTGGAGGATAAGAGAGGCGAAAACGCAGCACTTTACGCTGGGAGGAGGTTCGTTTCTTCACTATAACATCCGTCTGTCCAGTAGCATCGCAATAGCTGGCCTTGATTCGGATTGGCCTAGGACGTCAGTTTGGAGGATTTCTCGCTCCCGAGTTCTCATTATGATGTAAACTGGGTCTGTGCGTGGAAATGTCTTTCCACAAGGGAAGCGCAGGTGCCCCAAGGAAAACAGCCCCGTCCTATGAGCTCGCTGCGTGCAGAGCTCGCTGGCGGGAGGGCGCTATATCTCCTGCGTCTCACTTGGGGGGTTCGCAGGCGCATAGGCTTGGGAACAGAATGCTGACCGAGGTAGGAATTATATTGAATTATGGAATCGCAGAATGGAAAAGTACCCCAGGGGTCATCTAGTCCAACCCCTTACAATGCAGGAATCCCTGACAGAGGGCCATCCAACCTCTGTTTAAAAACTTCCCACGAAGGAGAGTCCATCGCCTTGCGAGTGGGGTTTGATATTGCAGAGGTCTTTGGACTGCCTTAGCCTGCTGCTGTTTATGGAACCGGTTTTTATACATCAGAAACCACGGAAAGAAGTTTGTTGTGGAAGGAAGCAGCAAGCCAACAAGCAAATATATACAGTATTATGATTACACGCCTTAATGTTTCGGTGGTTTTTATAATGCGCAATATAAATTAATCATCATCATCATCATCTGGTCACCTGCATCGACGTTGAAGTGCCTTTCTATGTTCTGTAAACCGCCCAGAAGCCTATTTTTTGGCATGAAGCCGTATGGTAGGGCAGGAGACTCCTAATTTCGCGATCGTGGGTTGAAGACCCACATTGGACAAAAAGATTTCTGCATTGCAGGGGGTTGGACTAGATGATCCTCGGGATCCCTTCCAACTCTGTGATAATGAAATAAATGTAATAACAACAATGCAGTTTTTTGCTTCAGGCTGCAGACCTGTGCTGACTTACCTGGGAATAAGCCCCACTGCCATTAATAGAACTTCTGAGTATTATTTTTATTTTAAATTTGTACACCGCCTTTCATCTGAAGATCCCCCAGCGGTTCACAACAGGAAAAAAACCAAATAAGCACGTATGCAGGGCTGCAGTGTCATATATCCCCATTCACTCTCAGATGAGCTTCCTGGGTTCAGTCAAGGGGAAGTGGCTGCTCAGACTGGCTGGAATAAGCGGAATTTATCCTATCTCTCCTTCCTCCATTAGCGGCCCTTGGAGCCCCACATTTTACGCGTGACGGCGATAGGTGTATATCCCTCCTGATGAAGGTCAGGACGGGAAATGCTTGTTTGAGAATTCCTGGTCCAAAGCTTCAGCCACTTCCCTAGCTGTGGAAAGGCGGTGTACATTATTTTGTGCCAGACAGATATAGCCCTCCAGATTTTGCTGGGCAACTCACATCAGCCCAAGGATAGCCAGTAGTCGGGGGAGGGGTGGTCCAACACCCACACCTTCATTTTGCACCTGTGGTGCCAATACTAGGTTCCTCCCTCCTCCCCTTTAATCCTTACAACAACCCTCTACCCAGAGAGAGGAAGAAGAAATGATTAACTAGTCCACGTTTTGGGTCCAAGCACGGGATTTGAACCCGGTTCTTTTCGCTCGAAGCCCAGCGCTGCATCCGAAGTTGGTGCGCTGCAGATGTCCTTAGACTCCCAAGTCCCATCAGCACCAAGGAGGACGGATGATAGGAGTTAAACAACATCCGGAAGGCACTGCAGTGGCTTCCTCTCTGGACCCTCCTGGCTCCAGGAATGATGGACTTGTTCCTGTGTGCGTCAGACTCCTACCGTCCTCACCCCACTGGGGATTTCCTTAGGACGGCGAGGCGCTTCGAGGCAGACTTCTCCGCGCTGCCTACCTCTCCGGGTTGCGCGTGATCCTGAGTTAAAACTCTTGCTTAGTTGTCTCCATGCAGGAGAGCAGGGAGGCCCGGTCTCTCCTTCCATCTCCAGGGCGAACCCAGGCACCTCTTCCTACCGATCACCGCCACGACAGTATGTTTGTGTGCGTTGGGAAGGATGTGGAGAGGGAGAGAGGTAACAAAATGGAGAGGGGAATTATTTCACGCGCTGCTGAATCTCCTTGGTCTGTGTGCTGCGTTCAATGGGCCTGACTCTGAGCTCTCTCGCCATCTTGGGGAAACCAAAGCTGCTCCAGTCATCAGATGTGGAAGCTGAATAGACGCAGCTATTCTCCCTCTCGGCCTTCCCAGCCATGGGCGAAGCCAGGATTTTAGTTGGAGGGAGGGGGGCGGACTCAGAACCTCAGATTTGTATTGACCTTGACCCCCCCTAGCTACGCCCATGTTACCAGCCGTCTTTTGTTGCGCATTAATGACGCTCTGCTCCTGATTCTATGGGGCGGCTGCACAGGATCCCCCTCTCAATGCTATTTGCCCCTGCAAAAATCGGGGGGGGGGGTGTCATACTGCTTCATTTCCCACCAGTGCATATCCTGCAACACTTCCTGCTGGAATCCTGTAACATTTCACACCAGAAGTCCGCTTTTGTCCTGCTGTTGATGCGCCGCAACCCCTCTGCCCCGCCCCCGGACAGCAATAAGGTGGTAGCATTGCGGAAGCATGGCAGAAAAAACTTCTTCAGCTGCATTGCAAGTATTTGTGCTAGATGAACTGTTGGGTCCCTTCCAACTCTATGATTCTGTCTAATCAAGCAGAATAAACCCACCATTAAAGGAGGATTATTGAGCCAAGAACACGTTGCAGACAATAAAACAGCAGTTTGTGGGCCATCTCTCTCTTATTTTTACTTCAACAGCTTTTTCAGGGTTGCAGTTCTTTCCACTCTTGCCTGGGAGAAAGCCCTACTGAAAATAATGGGATTTACTTCTGAGTAAAGAGCGTGCACATCCAACGGAAGCTTGCAGTCTCATGTTCTGTTGCATTTGGGAGCTAAAGGAGTGGCGGATGCTCTCATCAGAACACATATTATTTATTTTAGTCACTTGAGAAGTTTTATTTTTAGTGACACGCAAGTTGACCCGTTTTATCTTGAGAACCTTTCAGTTCGACAAAGTGCAACTTTACCCGCCAGAAAGTTGCGGAGACTTTTTAAAGGCGTTCCCTGGGCTCAGCAATTGTAGGGATTTCCTCGCGCAATTGAAGTGAAGCAGTGGAGAGGGAGAAGCGGGAGGAAGCCGCTGGATTTCCCTGAGGGATCGCCTCTCCCCACTCGACCACCTGGATCTGCAGAAGGGGCACTATTAGAGGCGCCACATAAACGCTACTCAAACCACACCTGGAAGAAAGCGTGCTTTTAGTGTGGGAGCACCCAAACATTGGAACTCCCTGCCTGTGGACACCAGGCAGGCGCCTTCCCTCGGCACTTCCGGGTACCTGCTTAAAACATTTTCATTTAGGCAAGCCTACCAGGGCGCAATAAAACGAGATGAGCGCCGCAACCCCAGAGTCGGCCACGACTGGTCCTAATGGTCAGGGGTCCCTTTACCTTTTTACCAGGGCGCAACACGTAGACGTGCTTTAATCTTTTCCCCCCTTGTTAATTTGAATTGTCATTAATGCTTTTAATTACGTTAAGATTACTTTTATTGATTACTTGATTTACTAAAATCAAGCTCTGTATACATTTTATTAAAATAATAATTAAAAAAATGAAGCCCTGCTAAATGGCTGGAAAGGAGACTGCTTATCTTTAAACGCAGTGTTATGCATACTTACTAGTGAGCCAGTCCCATTATAGTCCAGGGAGTAAACAAATATAGTTTCGAACTGGCAGTGGCCAGTTTCTCGTATGATCGTCCCCATTTAATACAATGGGAAAACAGTGCCAGTTGGACCTATCTAGCGCTGGGTGAGCCATGCACCACCATAAATGGTTGGACTCCAGCTTCCGCTTCCGGCAGCCTGCATGTCCAGTGGTCAGGGATGATGGGAGTCACCATCCTTCAACATTTGGAAGGCCAGGTGTCTCGCTTCGCCAGGTAATGGCCTGCTGTCCTTCACTCGTGTGCAGTGCAGCGCCGTCTCAACCCAGAAGCCCACGGAATTCCGTAGCACCGTTTGATCGCAGCAGCCTTGACTGCCACCTCGATCGTTTTAATCTGATTTTGTAAAGCGGTTTAAACTCCCGGCCTCTCCATCTTTCTCAACCGCGCATTGGTATTTAGCAAAACACTATACGGGTTGTATACATCCTACTCAGAGTAGACCCACTGATATTAATGAGCCCAAGTTAGTCACGTCCATTAACTTCGATTTGTTTACTCTAAGACTGAATGCAATCCTCTTGTGGGTTGTGGTTTGAAAAATCACAATTCTGCATTTCTTCCTTGTTTTCGTCTTGTGGCATATATATTTTCGGTCGTGGAAGATTCAGGTGCTGAAATGGTCCGAAACGGGAATTATACACACACCCCTTCGATTACACCTGTCTGGTTAACTGAGTTTAAATTCTAGTTTTCCACGAAGACGCTGGCTTGTTGATTAAGCTGTCCGGGCTAAATCTATCAAGGCTTCAAGGATTACTTGGATTGATGTTCCCTAACAGCAGTCTATGCCAGCCTCCCCAACCTGTTGCATTGCACTCCAGTTCCCATCAGCCCCGGCCAGTACAGCAGATGGTCAGGAATGATGGGAGTTGTAGTCTAAGCGCTTCCCGCAGAATTGGCGAAGGCTGATGCAATTAAGGGGGGGGGGTCCTGTCGTATGACATGGCCTTGGCTGGACTACATATCCCATCATCCTTGTCTGTTGGTGTTCCTTTCAGCTGAGGCTGATGGGAATTGGAGTCCAACAACTACTGGAGAGGCCCCACTGCGGGTGTCAAGGCTTCACAGCAGCCTTCAACCTAGTTTGGACAACCACTTGAAACATCCGGAGGGGCCACCAAGTTGGAGAAGGTGGAGACTTCGGTTAGGAGGCGAGGCGCCCTCCCTTTTCGACGTGCGCTTTCCAAGACGGTTAAATGACCGGAGCGCACCGTTAATGAAAACCCGTCCTGGAGTAATATTTATTATAACAACTCTCCCTGGGGTGGAAGACAATGCCACCCAACGCGAAAAGGCCCGTCTCGCTCTGCCTCAGACGGGCCGAGGCGCAAGACGAGGCTGTCACGGCTGTTACTGTGCAGGCTGCGGGTGTTTCTTGACCAGCCACCAGGATGGTCCTCGACTGGGGCTTTCAGCCGCCAATGAAGAGCGGGGCTTCCAAGGGCCTCCCAAACAGCTAGGTTGCTCTCTTCGCTCCTTGAGCTTCAGCCTAGCTTGGGGACAGACCGGAGGAACGGGGCAGTCGTCCGAATCTTCTGGTAAAGAGAAAAAGATAAAATCTTGAGGACTAGCGCCTTGGCGTGCCATCTCCAGGGAGTACTGGTGGCTTGCACGAATCTTGGCGAAAAGAGACTTACGACGGCAGTGCAGAGAAGGACGTGAGGGGCTGGGCGGGGAGCCGCTTCATACCAGATGCATCTCAGTGCACGCCTTTCGATTTTGTTTTATTTTCTTTTAAAAGAAAAACCTCCTTTCGAGGGCGAGAAATCACCTGACACGCCAAGGAGGCGGCGGTGAGGCAGAAGGAAATCGGGGAGGGGGAACCGGAACGGAAAGAGGTAGCAAGCTTAAAATGTTTAACCTGATTTAATTGTAGGGCTTCTAACCATGCAGCCAGAGGTCTGCTTACTCACAAAGAAGTCCCACGAGGCTTCCTCGACGGCAGCTCAAAGACAGCAGCTGGGCGGGCCAATGCCGCTCGCCCATATCTCCACTAGTAAAAGGAGGCGCCGTTTTTGTTAGACTGAGAATCCAGGGAGCTGTCTAGAATTACCCCGAGGGACCTTTTCCTAGGAAAGGTCAAGATCCTCCGGGAGCTAGAAATTTGCCCCAGACTGCTCACCTCATAGTGGTAGATCCCGGGAACTTTGATTGAAATGAATGATGCGTAGAAAGAGTCCACTCAATTATAAGCCAGGCAACCCTATCCTAAGCACGTTCACTCAGAAGTAAGCCCAGCCAAAGACTATATGACTTACTCTCTCCTAAGACTGCGTTCCTGCGATCCTGAAATCTACTGGCTACAGTGGGAATTTCCTCTGATCAGAAGAGGTTAGGCTCACACGGTGTAGAAACCTACAAACAAACGCGAAGGGAATTGGTTCAGAGCGCAAGTGCTTTGAAGTCGCAGCATCGCGTGTTTTTTTGGTTTTAAATCGTATTTGAAAGAGTACTTGGTTGAAACGCAGCAAGCGAGCTGACGGTCGCTTAGAATTCCGATCCCTTCCCACTTAATTCCCAAAGGATGGCTCGCAGCTTTAACTTCATTTCTTTGAAACACGCTTACTTGGGAAGCAAGTTCTCTTGCAGCCGCCAAGCTGAGCGCAGAAATGGTGGCCGCGATCCTACGCACGCTTAGGAAGAAACCTTAGGCAGATGTAAAAAGCGCTGCGGAGTCTCTGAGAAACCTGGATAGGGGTGGACAAGAAACTTTTTCTGGAATTGCTTCCAAGTAGATCTGCTGCAAATCCTCCTTCCTTCAGACGACACGCCTTTATGAACCCAACAGAAGGAACTGCTCAACAAATTAGAAGAGGTCTGGAGCGTCCAAAATAGTTGAACCCAGAGGGGGAAGGGATGCAGAGAGAGAATATAGCTCGGACATCGTTGCCCAATGCAAGCGAGACTTTAGGAAAAATAACGTTGCGCCGAGAATCCATTGCAAGCCCGTGTTCCGCCCTTCTCTCCGACTGTTGCATTCCTTGACCAGTCCTCACTCGGTTGTTTTGGGGTCCCCTCCTGGGCCCCTCCTGGGCTCTCCAATATATATATATATTTCTGCAAAGCGTTGGACTCGTCGACCCTGCTGAAAGCTCCTGTGCGCGGAGACGGTGCCGTTTGGGCTCCATAAATCAGCGGCAGTCAAAGCCTGAACATGTGGGAAAGAGAGGGAATAATGAAACAGGCTAAATAGGAATCCACCCAAGAAATCTCCTATGTTTCGGGCCGCCGCCCTTGAGTTACTTCCTTGCGTAAATCAAGCCGACTGAAATCAGTGGGACGTAATTCAGCCTGAAATCCCCAATGAATCAATAAGTCTGGATCCCGCCCCCCTCTTTTATTAGGGCGGACGGGGATCGTATTACAGGTCAGGACGGAGCTCTAGTTCCGTTTAGGAATAACCGCAGCGAGCCGGTGAGAGGGCGGAGGGTTACCCCACCCTTTCCTGAAAGAAGCAACTTTTCCTTTCTAGAAACGCCCCCGTTTCCAGTTTAATTTAAGGCGCTGGAATCTCGGGGAGCTGAAGAGGCGCGACTCCGGCGTTTGCCGCAGCGCCGATCCTAAGCGGGGAAGAGAGACCCGTTCCCTTCGGTAGGGCTTTCCGCCCAGGTGAGTGAGTTGGTTTGCGGCTGCAGCCTCAGATGAGCTGGTTTGGAAATTGCTGGGTAAGGATCGCACGGTTTTCACTTCAAAGCAGAGATTCCCTCGGTTGAGGGTTGGAGTGTGTGGACCCCCATTTCCTCCTGAAGTTTCCAACACTTCTTCCTCTTTCCCCTTCCCCGTATCCTATTGTCAATAAACCAACAGGCAGAGAAGATTTTACTCATTCTTCTTATTTTTAAAAAATCGTTCTTATGGCGCTTTGCAGCGCATCTTACATAAACCTTGGCTCAGTTATGGATCCGCCCTGGGATAGCTCAGTTGGTAGAGCATGGGACTCTTAAACTCAGGGCTGTGGGTTCAAGCACCACATTGGGTGAAATATTGGACTACGTGACCCAACTCTGATTCTATGAAAAGGGAACGGAACCGTACTGGCTTGCGGGTCTCTGAAGCAACTCCTCCGCTATGCGCTTTGAAATGGTTAAGCCGGTTCTGGCATTCGCTACGGCCGTGTTCTATTCATTTTTCTAAAAAATTATTTGTTTATCTTTTTAATTGCTTTAATTGCCCTTGATGTGCCTGAGATGAGGTGTGGCCTTTGAAATCTTCCCTCACTTTAATGAAGCACTTTCTTGACCACTGAGGAAGGGATTAATTCGGATTGAGGGATTACCAAACCGAGCCAGCCAGAAGTCAAAACGGCTAGTTTCCAGAGAGGGTGAAACGAGACTTCTAACTAAACTGGAGGATGTGGGAGGACAGACCCCACCATCATTTGCATCTCATCGTGTGTATGTGAATATATATTAATTTTGGACCTTCCTTTTGCAGATTTGATGTGTTGGGATTTTCTTTGGCTAGGCTTGAAATGATAGATAAATTCTGTCGCCTTGTTGTAATGGGAACAAACAACAACAGAAAACAAAGGCCTTCACATCTGAATGAATTGAAACGCGCCTTGCCGTCTGGGTGCTAATTCTGTGCAAATTCCCTTGGACTTTGATGGCATTTATCCCCAAGAAAGCGACCCCATTTTTATTCTAGGGGTTTGCGGATTATCGACTAATTTGACCGACCACTCGATAAACCATTAGACTAGAAAATGGTGCGCCTGCAGCCCAGTTCCTCCGGTTAGTGGCAATTCAACGGAGGCGCCAAAGCGCATCTGGAGGACGCTTGACTCGGAGGGAGCGTGTGTACGATTGTGCCCACCGTCCGGAGACTGGAAATCCGAATTCTTCTCCCTTGCTCCTGGGCCCTGGATTACTCCCACTTTCATTGATGGGGTTTAGGGAACATTTGCTGAACTCAGTCAGTGGCCCCGGGGCTCTTCCCAATCCTCGTCTGAGCGTCTTTGCTACGGAGAGGGATAACCCAAGTAAATCTCGGATTACAGCCATAATCTCTGCTAGCATATATGTATGTGTGTGCTCTGTGTTTGGTATTTCTACCCCACCATTTTTCTCCAAGGAGCTTGAGGCACCTTACATGGTGTTCTCTCTCTCTCTCTCTCCTCGTATTTAAACCCCACAACAACCCTGTGAGGTAGGTGAAGGAAAAGGCAGATGCTTTATGCAGTCAGACCACTGGTCGAGGTAGCTCAATACTGTCTACACTGACTGGCAGCTGCTCTCCAGGGTTTCAGACGAGAAGTCTCTCCCAGCGCTACCTGGAATGATTGAACCTGGGACCTCAGAGCGCCCTGCAGCTTGCTGGCCCCTCGCATGCTGCCAGGAAGGAAGGAAGGATTTCTCGATCCTGTTTGTATATACAGGGACATAGTAAGGTGCTTGACTCTGAGCCAGATCATCGGCCCATTGGGCTCAGTGTTGTTTACACAAGTGCTTTTCAGTCTTGGGTCCCCAGCTGCTGTTGGACTACAACTCCCATCATGCCTAGCTAGCAGGACCAGTGGTCAGGAACGATGGGAGTTGTAGTCCAACAACCACTGCTGGGGACCCAGCTGACTGCCAGCTGCCCTCCTTTTAAGACAGAAGACATTCCCACCCCTATCTGGGGACCCCTGTCCCTGTCTGGCGACAGATGCGTGGTGGATGCGGAGGGAAATGGTTGTCGGTGCAGTCGTCGGACAGGAGGAGGAGCGGCGTGGTGTTGCCTCCCGGGCAATGGGGCTGGTTAGGTCATTTTAGACTCTAATCTCAGTTTATCATAGCCACGCTCCTCCACCCGCTGCCATTTGATCTTAATGAGCATAGCTTCACTTCAAAACGAGGTAGGGAAGCTCAGCTGCCTTTGCGGGGGCGTGAGGGGAGGTTATGGTTGCTAATAATAGACGCAATCCGCCGGTTGAATCAAGGCGATGACGTAATAATCGCCTTGCTGGATACCGCGATGATGCAGTAATCGCTCTGCTGGATCGGACTCAGATTTATCTTGTTCGTACTAGATGCCTCTGGGAAGCCCAAAAGCCGGGCGTGTAGGTTGCAATCCTCACGCGTCTAGTGTCCCAAGGTATACTGCTTCTGAACATGGAAGTTTTATTTAGTTGTCCCGGCTAGCGACCGTCGATAGCCCTACCCTGCATGAATTGATCGAGTTTTTGTTATTCAAGCCAAGGAGGAGAAAGTCAGATGTCTACCGGAGAAAAAAGATTTAGAAGTGGTAAGGGATTAAGACCCTTTGCTTTGCTTTTAACTTGATATGATTTCTTATAATGAGAGCGAGCGAGCAAGAGAGAGATGGCGAGTGATTTCCTTTCAGAAAGAAGAGCAAGTAATGGGGCCACTCAGTATGTGTTTCCCTTTATCAACTAAATTTCACTCCATGTCTCTTTAAGGAAGGGGCGTGGCCAAAAGGGGCGTGGCAATGATGAATGCGTGGGGCTAACAAAGGAAGACTAGAACAATAGTTAGCTACCACCGAGGTCTGCAGCTGCCTAGAGTGCAGATCTCAAGAGACCTTTAAGGAACACAGCTTTATACAGGTCAGTTTATGTTATATCTGACATTTTACTTTCATATTTTGAAGAATTTTATCATTTCTACAATGCATATGTTTCTGAACACTGAAGTTAATTTGGGGGGAAGGGGGATGGGGTGCAAGTAGTTACTTTGCCTGGGGCTCAAAATAGCCTGGCACCAGTATTGCTACCAGGGACGCGGGTGGTGCTGTGGGTTAAACCACAGAGCCTAGGGCTTGCCAATCAGAAGGTTGGCAGTTCAAATCCCCATGGTGGGGTGAGCTCCCGTTGCTCAGTCCCTGCTCCTGCCAACCTAGCAGTTCGAAAGCATGAAGTGCAAGTAGATAAATAGGTACTGCTCCGGTGGGAAGGTAAACGCCGTTTCCGTGCGCTGCTCTGGTTCGCCAGAAGCGGCTTTGTTATGCTGGCCACATGACCCGGAAGCCGAGTGCCGACTCCCTCGGCCAATAAAGCGAGATGAGCGCCGCAACTCCAGAGTCGGTCACAACTGGACCTAATGGTCAGGGGTCCCTTTACCTTTACCTAGTATTGCTACCACCGTCACACACAAGTCCCTTGAGGATGATGTGTGAGCTGAGGGGAAAGCAGAAAGGTAGAGTGCTGTGTTAAGTATGTGCGATGGTATGCCTACCTGCGTGAGTGCAACATGCGTGTTCCTAGGTGCTCACTTTGGGTTTGGATGGATGCAGCAACACACCCACCCACCAGTACTGAACAAGAGCAAACGGGCTCAAAGGTAGGGATGGAGAACCTGTGGTGCTCCAGATGGTTGTTTTTTTGGACTCTCATCTGCCCCAGCCCAGCATGGCCACTGGACGCAGATGATGCTGGAGGACCACAAGTTCCCCACCAAACCTGTCCTAAGCACTTTGCCTTACCATCAAATCCACTCTGGACTAAGAGTCAAACTTGCAACCATGTTTATTTGAAAGTAGTTCCCATTGAACGTTTCCCCAAGCCAATGGGACTTTCTAAACATTCATCCCCACTTATTCTGCATATTCCTTCATGCCCCTGCTGGCATCTTCAACCCTATTCCCATTCCTCCTATCCCTTCTTTTTGCAACCCCCTTTGCACTCCCATTTCCACCTTCACAAACTTTTCTCACCCTCCCTCTTTTCTCAGCACCCCCTTGCACACAGATCACCCCCATTTTCCATGTCTTATTTTCTCTCCTATTGCATAGCCAGCCTTTGCACATATATACCATATTAAGGTAAAGGGACCCCTAACCATTAGGTCCAGTCGTGACCGACTCTAGGGTTGCGGCGCTCATCTCGCTTTATTGGCCGAGGGAGCCGGCGTAGTGCTTCCAGGTCATGTGGCCAGCATGACTAAGCCGCTTCTGGTGAACCAGAGCAGCGCACAGAAATACCGTTTACCTTCCCGCCGGAGCGGTACCTATTTATCTACTTAAACCCCAATAAAAATACATACCACATTATCACCTTCACCCCCTTTTCCTTACCTCCTCATTCCTCCATTTCTCAACTCTCCCTTACAGACAGACCCCTCCTTTTTAATGCTTCCTGCTCTTTCCAGCATGCACACCCACAACCATGGTGATACATGTTACTGTAGCTTTAAGATGTATAGAATTGTATCAGCAACCTTTTTCAGTTACAGAAGGTTAAGTTCAGTGGATGATATATGGGTGTTTGCAGACATCTCTTCTAAATTTGCGACATATTGAACTTCATGGTTGCTGTTGTTGTTTAGTCGTGTCCGACTCTTCATGACCCCATGGACCAGAGCACGCCAGGCACTCCTGTCTTCCACCACCTCCCGCAGTTTGGTCAGGCTCATGTTTGTAGCTTCGAGAACACTGTCCAACCATCTTGTCCTCTGTCGTCCCCTTCTCCTTGTGCCCTCCATCTTTCCCAACATCAGGGTCTTTTCCAGGGAGTCTTCTCTTCTCATGAAGTGGCCAAAATATTGGAGCCTCAGCTTCAGGATCTGTCCTTCCAGTGAGCACTCAGGGCTGATTTCCTTAAGAATGGATAGGTTTGATCTTCTTGCAGTCCATGGGACTCTCAAGAGTCTCCTCCAACACCATATTTCAAAAGCATCAATTCTTCGGCGATCAGCCTTCTTTATGGTCCAGCTCTCACTTCATGGTATCAGAAGTGAAATACCTTGTGGGGCAAAGCTATGGAATATTTGAGGGCTCAGCACCCTCTGTTTCTCACATCCTACACAGCTGAAGAATAGAAGAGAGGCAAGGTATTTGCAAGATATTTATATCTATCTCTGTCCAAACCCTACTCTCTCTCTGCCACCCTGCCACAGTGGTGTAGTGTGGGTTGCCGGTGGCCAGAACAGGGCAAGTGTTGCGCCCCCTGGTGGATTGGTCAGCTGGGCATGGAGCCTATCAGGCACATGGCTGCCGGTGGCCACACCTTCTCGGCTTGACAGCTCCACCTTCCAGCTTGGCCAGCCCAAGGGTGGGCTGGGTGGGCGTTGTGCCAAGTAGTGCTCCTCTCAGAATTTTGTGGTGGGCCAAAAGGCTTTGGGTGAATAGACTCCAGCAGAGGCTATTCTCCTGGGCATGTGCTTCATGCAAACAATTCTAAGTATGGACGCAAAATGTTCAAGTGTTTGTTCTTTTTGCTAAAAGTATCTTTTTCTTATGCTAAGTCTTCTGACCACTGATCAATGCCGTGAGATATACTTTCCTTCCAGTGTTGCAACACCAGACTTTTTGGCCACCAACAGGGCACACCTGGCCCAAGTACATTTGACCCTCTGGTCAAGGCTTGTGGTAATGGAATATGACTTAGTGTGAGCATCCAATAATTTTATGGATTTCTCAGGACTAAGATGATATGGATGATGACTTCCATCCAGAACGCTGCCATGATCCTCTCATTAGAATAATACAACTGAACACCACTGGCCTGAATCCATGTCCAAATTACTCAATAGTAAGGGCACTGAACTTGGTTGGACACACTGCTGAGTAAATATACACCAAGCCAGGCATGTAAAGCTAGAATAGGTGAATATGCTTTGAACCTATGCTGCTGCAAATCTTTTTGTTATCCTACATCAAGGTTGAGGAACCTCAGGTCTAGTGCCTCCCAGACCTCAGGAGCTAGGATACTCTCCAAGCTATGCCCATCGCTGGGACACCCTCCTTTTCCCAGGTCACGTCCCTAACTAGTATGGTGATCCCTCCTTGGGTGCGTTTTGCCTGATGGGAGTGCGTCCTTGAACTATGGATCATGCCTTTTGCTTTCCTGGTTGTGGAACAGAGACACAGAGAGGGTGCAGAAACCTCTGACCTGTAGGTGGGTGGAATGTAGCCCTCGCAAAGGAAAGAGCAAACTTTTTCAGCAGGGGGCCGGTCCACTGTCCCTCAGACCTTGGGGGGGGCTGGACTATATTTTTTTTTGGGGGGGATGAACGAATTCCTATGCCCCACAAATAACCCAGAGATGCATTTTAAATAAAAGGACACCTTCTACTCATGTAAAAACATGCTGATTCCCGGACCATCCATGGACCAGATTGAGAAGGCAATTGGGCCGCATCCGGCCCACGGGCCTTAGGTTGCCTACCCATGGGAAAGAGTCACCTCTGTAGCTCCTTCCACTTTTTGCCTCTAGCCCTGCCCACCACTGGGATGTGTCCCCCGAAGGCTGCCTATGAGGAAACGTGGCCCTTGGTCTGGAAAAGGTTCCCCTATTCCTCTGCTATACAATCCCAAACAACGGGCCAGCTCGTGTCTATGGGTGAAATGCATAGCTCAAAGGAGCGCAGGAACCCTGAGCCAATTTTAGCTGGAAGGGTTACGGCACTCTCTTTTGGGGTGGGGGCGCCAATGTGAAATTGATTCTTCCTGTCACTGGCAAGTTGGAAGGTCTTGATTCCCATCCATCACCCTCCTGCGCCTCCCCTCCGCCCCACCCGTCTTCCCAAGACCTTTTAACCAGGTCCTTTAGCTTGTAAAAACACACTGATTAGGAATACTAGTAGTGACCTTCGCGATCAGTAAATAACGGGGTCTCTTGCAAGCCGTTTCAGCCTCCCTTTCCCAGCTTGAGCTGCAGCGCAGAGCTCACGAGAGCAGGCTCTGTGTGGTGACACTTTTACTGTTGAAATATATACTGATTTTTATTAGCTCTTGGGGGAAACCCAGAGGCTGGGGGAATTTTTTTGTATTTGCTGGCCTGTAAACCTTTTTTATTGGAAAGCAGCTAAGGCGCGGGGGGGGGGGGAGAGGTTTGAATCTGGTTTGCTTTTCACAGCCTACACTTTGTACACAATATGTGTCAAAAAAAGAAATCCAGGTTTGTGTCAGGGTGAATGTACGGTAATCCATGTGAGCACACATATAAGCAGTTTTTGGAAAAACAAAAGAAATGCGTTTTTAAAATATATACAGTATAAAACAGAGGAAGAGGGCACCTATTTTGCATGCAGAAGATCCCAGGTTCTTAAGAGAGGAAGGCAACAACAGAGAGCAGATCCCCAGCACTATAGATCTACTCTCAGTACTCCTGGTTTTGTTTTAGGGGGACAGCAGGGGTTCCACTAGCAACTACTGCAGCCCACCCAGTCCATCCCAGTCTCTCTGCCCTGGGGGATCCTGTTAGCCTGGACTTTTGAGAGAAAGATAAGGGGCCCTTCTACACAGCAATTGCAATAAATGCAACCAAGTTTTTCTGCAGCATCCACAGGACACTCCTCATCAAATGCCTCCTGCATTCCCACCCTCCCTAATCCAGAATAGACAGATTTTTCCATGGAAATGGTAAATCGGGATGAAGTGGGAAAATAATACAGGGCAGCGTATGGCAATATGTGGATGCCGCAGAAAGCTTGTACCCACAAGCAGCAACCACAATAACTGGCCGTGAGGACTCACCAAAGCACTGTGCTTCGAAATGCAAGGAAAGCCACTTAAGAGCTTCCCTAATGCCTTGAAATGTCAAGAGGCAACAGAAATTGCCTTCCGAAAAAGTGGAGCTAGCCCTCCTCTTTGGGCTATACAGATAAATGCCATCTACAGTTGCGTTAACTGATGAGCAGCCTAGCTCAGTTGGTAGAGTATGAGGCTCTTTAAGCTCTGGGTTGTGGGTTCAAGTCCCAGGTTGGGCAAAAGCGTCCTACATTGCAGGGGATTGCACTACATGACACTCTTGGTCCCTTCCAATTCTACAATTCCATGATTTCAGTGGCAGTCCATTTCATCACCCTCCCACCCCCCTTAGGAAAGAAGTCCCCTGGATTCCATTAGGGACCTCTAGGCCCCGGGTATTTTAGCAGCTCCCCTTTCTCTCTCGTGCCAAGCCAGGCTGCTGGAAGAGGTCAATTCTACCTGGGCAAGGGCCGCCTCCTCCCCACCCCGCGCACGTTCCCGCTTCAGAGGTGAAACTGACTGCAATTATGCGTTTTATCTTGCAGACGATCTTTCGCCCAGCGCTTTAAGGAGACAGAAGTATTTGTTTGATGTATCGACTCTCTCCGACAAAGAGGAGCTGGTGGGAGCGGAGCTGCGGCTCTTTCGCAAAGCCCCTGGCGATCATTCCTCCAAGGCGCAGACAGGCCTGGCCCATGTGCAGGTCTCGCCCTGCCTGTCGGGCCGCCTCCTGGACTCCAGGACTTGGGGCCTGCACGAGGCGGCGTCGGCCCAGGCCGGGGGCGGCTGGGTGGTGTTTGATGTGTGGCAGGCGCTGCAGCCTCACCAGCCCTGGAAAAAGCAGCAGCAGCAGCAGCCGCAGCAACTGTGCCTTGAGGTGCGCGCCGTCGCGGGGACTCGAACTCACGCCCAGCAGCCCCTGCTGGACCTGCGCGATCTGGGCCTGGGGCGAGGCGCTCGGGCGCAGCAGGAGAAGGCACTGCTGGTGGTTTTCACCAAGTCCCGGCGGAAGAATCTCTTCTCCGAGCTGCGCCACGAAAGGGGAGCCCAGCAGCAGAGCGCGCACGCGCCTCCCCAGGAATCGACGGCTGCCGCGCAGTTGCGCTTGCAGAGCCGTCGGATGAGGCGCACGGCTTTCCACAACCGCCACGGCAAGCGGCACGGCAAGAAAGCGCGGCTGCGGTGCAGCAAAAAGGCCCTGCACGTGAACTTCAAGGAGCTGGGCTGGGACGACTGGATTATCGCCCCTCTGGAGTACGAGGCGTACCACTGCGAGGGCGTGTGCGACTTCCCGCTGCGCTCGCACCTGGAGCCCACGAACCACGCCATCATCCAGACCCTCATGAACTCCATGGACCCGGGCTCGACGCCGCCCAGCTGCTGCGTGCCCACCAAACTGACGCCCATCAGCATCCTGTACACGGACGCGGGCAACAACGTCGTCTACAAGCAGTACGAGGATATGGTCGTCGAGTCCTGCGGGTGCAGGTAGCGCCGCGCCTCTCTGTCTCCCCCTGGAGGGAAGAAAAAGAAGCACCAGGGAACTTGGGGAGAGAGAAGGAGAGAGAGCGCGAGCGCGCCCACGAGGGACTCGCTAGGGGTAGCCCTGCGCAGGGAGGAGAAAGCAAAAGAGGCGCTCGACGGGGCGGCCGCTGCTGCAGTTGCCGCCGCCGCGCGGGCCTGGGAAGCCCTCTGGAGTGGGATTGAGGAGCGCGCCTGCGCCCTGCTAAGCCCGTTCCCCCCAAGCGCTCCGTGCACTTGTCAAGGGGTAGCCACGTTGGGGCGGAGAGGCCTGCTAGAAATTGTGCCTGCTCCCACCCCTCCCTGCTGCCCATCAGCTTTCCAAGTTCAGGATTCCCTTTTGGTGGACGGCAGCTTAAGGAGCAAGGAAAGCCAGGGCAAGAACAGCTCTCCTCTTGTTCGGAAAACACGGGGCAAAGGCTAGGAGGAGAGTGGGCATCTTCCTGATGCTCTGTGGCTAGGAGTAGCTGGCCCCAGTCTGCTCCCCCGTATTTGATATTAGGAGGTGTATTGGTCAGGCAGAGTTTTTCCAGAGATGGCGGTCACTTTAGTTTGATCTCCTCTTACCTGCAAATCAGAGATGCTCAGAGTAGGGGGTGCAGGGAAGCAGAGGGGGCTGGAAAGGAAATCCAGATCAGCAGTGCTTTGGAGATCAGTATTGTGAGAAATGGTGATAGCCGCTTTCATGAGTGATGCTCATGGTGGCTGATATCTCCCCCATCCCAGGATACCCTTCCACTTTCCATCCTCCACAAGTAACTTAGCACATGCTTACAAATTGCCTGGATGGTTTTGTTTTCCAGATTGTAGTTTTACCCAGGTGGGCAGATAGGAAAGCACCTGTCTCAGAGACACTTCCTGTCGAGAGATCAGCAGGCAAATCATTGCAGGGGGTTGGACTAGATGATCCACTGGGTCCCTTCCAGCTCTACAATTCTATGAAAGCAGGAGGCTGAGGTCTAGGGGATTGCCGTGGGGAAAGGGGCCGTGGGAACAGAAAATGCCAAATACTTCCTGTTAAGTGTCAGATTGTATTCTTTGCGTTGGCAGAAGATATAGGCTTTCTTTTAAGAGGAGAAATGGGAAAGAGCCAGTGCAGAACAGAGCTGGCTTGATGTTCCTCCAGAAACATCAGGAAGTATTCTCCTTTCTGTAGCTTTGCAAGATTAGCAGGCTGAAACAGCCTTCGACACCCCTCCCCCCCAAAGTGCAATGCCAAACTGTAATTACCAGTGAGGTTGGGCTTCAGATCCTAGTAATGAAAAGCTGTGAAAGGAGTTTAAAGAAAGCACACACAAGATGGGTCCCCCCCCTTTTTTAAAAAGATAGGTTGGAAACGCCTTTTAGTTTCAAGGTAAGTTTCGCCAGGGAGCTGAATTAAGTTCCAGGAGAAGGCAGGCGCCTTACAGGAAGCTACAGCAGTATTACACAGTTGCGCAAAGTGATGCCGAGAGCAAGTGCGTCGCTATGAACATTTGCCTTCTGTCCCAGCCTTCCGCGAAGAATGGCTTGACGTACAAGATAATGCACTTCTGAGCATTCCTGAAGTCCATGGGGAGATTCCTTCCTCCAGTGAATTCTAGAGCGGTTAGACTATATCTTGACTTCACAGAGCTGCAAAATGGCCGGGGGTGGGGGGTGGGGTGGGGGAGAGAAGTACAAGTGTAAAAAAAGTAAATAAGTAAATAAATAATATAATGATGCTAATAAAGGAAAGTCTCGGCCAGGAGCAATAATTGTTCTTTAATGCACACTTTGGTTTGGATGCACTGTTGTTCGTATTGAAGCTGTAAATACTTGTTTATTTAAACAGACTGCAAAGTGCAGAAATGGTGGCAAACAACATTCATTTCTCCCCCTCCCCCTAAATGTCCAAAACATGATATGCACTCAAATGTCTAATTTTTTTGGTTAAAAAAGTTTATATTTGAGCTGTACAGAGTTGAGCATTAATCCAATATTTCAGCTGTATGTCTGTAACATTATCGTCCCTCTCCCCTTCTTGAAATGTTATTGCAAGAGTTAAAATTCTGTGTTAATAATGGAGAGTTCTTTTTTTCTGTTGTCTACCTCACTACATTGCAAGAGCACAATCCACCGGGAAGGTCTGCATGCCTTGCTGCGAAAGGCCTGTAGCTTAGTGGTAGAGCATCAGCTTTGCCTGCAGAAGTTTCCAGGTTCGATCCCCGGGCGGAGCTGGGAGAGACTTCCTGTCCGAAACCCTGGAAGGTTGCAGCCAGTCATTGCGAACAATACTGAACAAAATGGGCCATTGGTATTAAGCAACTTCCTTTGTTCTCATGCTGCTACGCAGTTCCTATTTCAGTGAGGCTGAAGAAAGAGAACTTCCTGCTGGGTTGTGCGCCAAATAATATGCAACTCTTAAGGCTGCGTACCCATGGCATTTTATTCGAGAACCAATGGAGACAGTGCTTCCCCCTCCCATGTAGTCCGCACACAATTTAGATCTGTTGCATATTTTTTTGCCCCTGAAAAGCTCTTCTTGAGAAACTGGCTCTGTTCTGGAAATAAAAGCTCATTGCGGATGGATTCTGCATTGCCGTGCAATGTGCTCATTTGCAAATGGATGAAAGCAGCTGTAGGCAGTCCCAGCAGTGGGGGTGTATCCCTACACCTGCTTGGTGATGCTATGGGTGGGCATATATCAAGTTCCCAGTCACCACTTCCTGCTTCGTTCACCCAGGGCATGTGCAGGGAAGAAAAGGAGGGGTTAGCCTAAACAAGGGGAGGGGTTTCAAATGTCTTATCTGGTAACCACACCCACCCTTGCGGATAGCAGGATCTAGAATCTACAGTAGTTTGAAAGTGACATGTTGTGGACAAGAATGAACAGTTCCTGATTGAGAAAAAATATCACTTTTGTGCTACAAATGGATTAGTGTGTACGGAGCCTAACACTCTTTAAGGTAAATTAATATTCAGAACATTTTTACTGGATGGTACTTAAACCACAACTGTATTATTAAACTCTTTCCTCCCTGGAAGCCAGTTGCTTTTTCTGTTCTATTTTGATTAAATACCCGTGCATTAAAAACCAAAAAACCCCAAATCATAACTGGATGTTGGCTACAATTCTTAAAATCTATTAGTCGATCTGAAAGAAGCACCAATTAAAAAACAAAATTCACAGACCTTTGTGATTTAAACCCCCCTTTTAATGTATATTCTCAGGAACTTCTTAAGGGTAACTTCTGAAAATACGGAAGCATTTCATGAAGAGTGGAAGCTACATCTGTTGGGTAATCCCAGTGAAAAGGAGGAGAAGCAGCATATAAATGGCAGCTGTGTTTGATACTTTTAAAATACATTATATTCTATGCAGTGCAAAGGGGGCGGGGGGGGAGGTGAACATGTCTGCATGCAATAGAACGGAATCATGAAATATTGCCTCACAGTGATCATATTAATAACAGCAGCACAACTATCCATAACTCAGACACTGTTGAGTTTGCGATGGAAAGTTGCAGTGCTCTTCTACATACGGTTTGTGCCACAGTGCTTTAAATGGAGCGCGCACATCTTTGCAAAGGTAGGAAGAACAGTATGCATCTGCTTGCTTGCTTGAAATGGATGGAACCCTCTCCCCCAACCTGGTGCCCTCTAGATACTTTGGAGTACAATTCACATACATCTCCTGGCAGTGGTACAGCTGTGTTTGGAGGTGGCTTAGGGTTGTGTCCACACCAGGGCTTCTGTAGCTGTGATGCTGTTCTGTATGGAGAAGGTAGGCCATTCTTTATCCTACTTGAAGGCAGTAGATGTAAGTGAATATTATTTAAATCTTACTAATTTCAATGGAGTTTAAGCATTCCTAATGCTCTCTGTGTTAAACCTGCTGTGTAGAAGTAAGGCCTTTTAGATTATAAATGTGATGAGAACAGACGTGTTTGTCTGTTTCATTGTGGACTGTTCCGCCTTTCGGCACGAGCTACGTGGATTCAGGTCTGTGGGCAGGAAAAGCTGATTTTGAGTTGTACCAAGGCATGACAGCCTTGTCTCCATCCCTTCAAGCAATGCATTCTTCACAGCTCCATCTGACTAGAAGTTAAATGTTCAGGCCTTCGTTACATGGAGCAGGCAAGTGAATTTAAAAATGAGCACTCCCTTTAATGCAATTTTTTTGTCTTCAAGGTCTTTTCTCGCTAACTTTATTTAGGTAACTTTCTTCTGTTTCTGACGGTAGTGTTGGACCTTTTGTGCAAATACCAGGCGTGCTTTGGTGGTATGCAAAAGAAGAAGGGACGCGGGTGGCACTCTGGGTTAAACCACAGAGCCTAGGACTTGCTGATCAGATCGGCAGTTCGAATCCCCGTGACGGGGTGAGCTCCCATTGCTCGGTCCCTGCTCCTGCCAACCTAGCAGTTCGAAAGCACGTCAAAGTGCAAGTAGGTAAATAGGTACCGCTCTGGCAGGAAGGTAAACGGAATTTCCATGGACTGCTCTGGTTTCACCAGAAGCGGCTTAGTCATGCTGGCCACATGACCCGGAAGCTGTACGCCAGCTCCCTTGGCCAATAAAGCAAGATGAGCACTGCAACCCCAGAGTCGTTCTTGACTGGACTCAACTGTCAGGGGTCCTTTACATTTTAAAAGAAGAAGAGCACCAATAAAACCACTAGGGGCTGACTCATGCCCAGTGGTCTGGATTCTCTATGTAGTGCAAACCTAGAATTCATGCCCTGATGAGTTAACATTTAGTACGAGCCGAAGCTGATGAACAAGCATTTATGTGAGCAGTCTTGGTCCATGGGATCTACCTACCTTTTGGTTTCACGTCAAACCTTCTATGGGATGGGGAACCTGTGGCCCTTCAGATGGTTGGCCAATGGGGTGGGGTACCACAACTCACCTGTTCTCTCAGCCATGTTGCTGTGCTTCCAGGGAGAGAGATGGATAAGGGGGTGGGAAGGTTGATGCAGTGAGCGTTGACCATGCTGGCTGAAGCTGGTGGGAATAACAGACCAGTAACATCAGGAAGACCATAGGTTCCTCATCCCCGATGGGCAGTTTGGCCCTTAACTCAGAGGCATGGCAAAACCTTGGACATCTGCCATAGCGCCTGGGAAAAGGAGCTGGGATAATTTCCACCAATTGGAGTAAAAATAAAAATAGTTCTAGGCTAGATGGGACAATCATCTGACACAGTACAAGGTGCAAGGGTCGCTTTTCATGTTCCACCTTGTGTAGAACCTGCATACTGCAGTACAGTGTAAACTCGCCTGAGCCAAAATTTAGTGGAAGTTTAGAACAACTCATGCATTAAATCACCTGATTCCATAAGCAGGGATGGAAGGCTGATTAGACTGGGTGGATGGGAGGAGGCACAAGTTGTTCCTAATGTCTGAAATCAGCAAAGATTTGTCACCACACATCCAAACTGAGCACTTAGAAGTCCAGGTGAATTAAATGGAAACATTCTTGGTGGGAAATGGAAACATGCTTCAAATTTGCTGGATCATGACCTTCATTTCTTATTTTAAAAAATGCAATGTAGCTTTTCTTTTAAGGAAATAAATTGCATAAGTTGACATATCTGAAGGGAAAAGAGATGGCCTGCCGGGGAATTTCAAGCCTAAGTACTAACAGAGCTTACAAGCCTATTAGTATACATTCTATGTTACAGAAACCCATTCTATGATACAGGAGAAATCAAAATAGATTTATTTAATGGAGGAACTCCCAAACAGGATCTCTCTCTTTGTCTGGGATGCAAAGCAATATGCCTTCTCTTTCAGGTTCACCGTTCAGTTCAACATTTTTGAGCATGCCGAAATAACACGTATGCAGTGCATTTGCTGGCCAGAAGAGGGCGAAAGACCTGCTGAGCTTGAAATCGGATATTGCCACTTGCCTAATTGCAGTGTGGCACATGAAGAAAAAAATATGGCTGTCCTTTCATTCTTTGGTACCCAACAGGTTAAAGGAGGCACCTGTAGGACTAGGTGATGGAGGGGGAGAGGGAGGTGGCTAAATTTTGTCCCTGAAGGTTTCCCATCCAAAGCCTCTAACATTTACCTTTCAGACACTATTTTGAAGTTTGGCCATTCCATCCTCCCCCCACCGCAAGGTGAGATACGAGCTCCGCAATGTCAACAACAGGAGAGGCTTTGCCAGAGTCCATCTCATAGATGCCACAGGAGGACAGACAAAAGAAAAGGGTAGGTATTTGAAAGGCATAAAGGAAGAAACTGGCACAGCCTCTGTTGTTAACCCCAAATATCCAAAGAGACGTATGTAAATTCCCTCCCTTCCCTTTGCTTCAGGTCCACCTCTCATCCTACACCTCCTTGCTGGTCTTTACGATCCCGTTGAGTTTGTTTTTTGGACGCTGCCTGCTTGCTGAGTTTCCAACTTAGTTCCCCTCTGCCCTCCTTTCTGCTTGCTGATCCCTGCAACGCTTTGGTTAGCTTTTGTGGCCTGCCCCTTGCTAACCAACCTTTGAATACCTCTGTTGCTCTGAACATTTACCTAGCATTTGGCTGTTGCTCATACTCTCCGCATCTCCCCTCCCCTGTCTGCCTTGGCCCACGCGCCTGGCATTCAGGGCTGTTTTCTGATTTTGTTCGGGTACACAAAAGCATAACGTCGGAAGGATCTGCACCCATGCTTCTCCGTGAACCAGGCATTAGCTTCTGGCAGAGGTCAGGGTAAGCAAAGTGCTGCAAGCTAGGAATTCGGCAGGGGCTGCTAGCAATTCTGGGGTTTGCAGGAAGACCCTTAAAAGGCACGACAAGCAAGGTATGCATGCAATCTGCACAATAAAATTCTTTGCCAAGGAAATTCATATTCAGTGCCAAGAGAAGCTGGATGTTACCCATATTTGTTAGGCAAATTAAGCAGATCTGTATATTTTAAAGTGATTCCCCCCACCCCCGTATTTCATGTTACCCTTTTGCATACTTCATTCCAGTTTTGTTGGTAGTGGAGAGCTCTGAAGAACCCTGAAACCCAATCCCCAACCAGTGGGTGTTTAGTGGTTTTGAGATTTTAGCAGAAATAGCCTACCCACTTTCAAGCACATCTGTTTATCCATAAAAAACCCCACGCTGTCTCTCTCATATAGATTATAAACTGAGAACAGAGATTATTAGGAAGCTGGATTCTATACCCTGTACCACATCCTGTAAATTGTCTGTGCCCGTGCAAAATAACATAGACACAAAACTCTGATGATATGTCACTGGGCTAGACAAAATTGGCTAGAAAGGAGTTGCCAAGCTCTGGCACTCTGAAATACTTGGGAGGCCAGTCGGTAGAGAGAGGGAGAATCATTTAAATGTGTCACCCAAGGTGCCCCAAGTGCAGAAGATCACTTTTTGTTTTATGCAGTGTTACGTTCCCTGCAGCCGGGCTGTGATAGGATGCAATGGAGCCGGCTTAGAGAATGATTTAGAAGGAAATAACATTTTCCCTCCCCATGCCCCCACCTCATCAAACTGAAGGCCTGCTCTCAATTTGGAAGGGAGAGGCTTCTCTGTCTGGTAAAGTAATATGACGGTGTGAGAGCAGGATCATTTCTGATATTTGAGGATCGTTTGTCACTCAAATCCCTCTTGAAACCAAGTGTAATATTGAGGCACACCTAGAAAAGATTTAGCTGTTGACTCTGGGCACAAAAATATGTGCTCATGAGGCACTGTATATGGAACATAGAAGACACGAGACGTTGTGGTTTGGCATTCACAGTTTGTTACTTGGTGTATCTCAGGTTCTGAAATGAAGGGCTTGTTACCTAACCACTGGGTGATAACTTGGGAAACTGTTTCCCCATTGCCAGTGGTATAAATTGTTTTAGGGATATAAATATGTTCCAGAGCCGGCCCTGCCATTAGGTAAAGGGAGGAAAACATTGCACTGAATGGCCATAATGCTGGAAAGCACGATAAGTTTTAATTTACAGAGCAATTATTATGCATTGAGATGTATGAATATGCATTGAATGACTTTGCGTTTTCAGAAACAAGGAAATAAAAAGAAAAAAGTCTCTCCATAAATAGAAGGCCTAGAGACTTATTCCTACCCATTCTAATAAACTGAACCTGTATGT